ACGCGCAGGCTCAGCGGCCATGGCTCACGGGCCCAGCTGCTCCATGGCATGTGGGATCCTCCCGGACCGGGGCACGAACCCGTCGCCCCTGCATCGGCAGGCGGACTCTCAACCACTGCGCCACCAGGGAAGCCCAGTACTCTTCTTTTGACTTGCCCAAGTGGTTATACATCCACATGAACAGAGGAGGTACAAGAATAAAGGTCTCATGTAAAATAAAATGCAGATCAACAGTGGCACTTGCCACATATCGAGTCCCCACTTATTCATCAGGAAATACAAACTGTTTCAAAACATCTTTATATCTTCACGAAAAGAATATGCAAGAAAGAAAACAATGACAACAGCATTGAAACTTCACTTGGAAGATTCTTTAACTGGGATACTATGTTTTACAATCCCTCCATGATCTGTTCTTGGGCAGAGCCAGAAAAAATACTGTCAAGTACCAAGTTAAGAAAATAACAGCTTTTGTTTATTTCAGAGTGAATTTGTGCCAAAATAGTAAATATGCCATTGTCTTTTGTTTTTGTCTTTGTTCAGTGAAAGTGGGATACAAAGTCTAGACAATGGCAGAAGTTGGGGAGAACAGGCACAGGAATCCCTTTCTGGGTGGTTTAAGTCTCACTGGGATACAAATTATTTTAACAGCCACTGCTACAATCAGGGCTCTCAGGCCAAATAATTCTGATTCCTGACATCGACTCTGGAAGCTTCTAAAAGGCAAAAGCATACACAGTCGTTCATGCTCATTGCTTATATTAAGCAACATAAATCAAAATGCTATTCCTAAAACATAAGAGAGATCTTGTCACGATGCCCAGCACAGAGCAATCACTCTATAACCATTTGCTTCCTTTCTTTCTTATTTCCATTTAACTCAATCAGGCAAAAGTATTTTCCCCAAAAGAGACGCAACAGTTTTCAAAAATACTATTTCAAGGGCCAGGATAAGTAAACTTTACAGAGAAGTTTCAGATGTAGGCTTCTGCTTCCAGAACTAGTGGTGGTGCCGAGGGGTGACTTATGGGACTTTAGATCCCCAATAATCTCCATCAATCCCCAGCACCCCATAAAAATAAACTCAAAATAAAAGCAGTCCTCTTGTTATGAAATCTAGCTTCAAGACGAGTCCCCTTTCAGCCAGATTGAAACCCTGAAGTTACTCTATCGATATTCAGGTGCTACAGTTATCCAAAATCATTACATAATCAAACAGCCATTTATTTTTCCTTATATTAGAGGAAGCAAAGCCAAGTAGTAAGGCTAAATCTTGAGAGGTGGGCAGTCCTGGGTTTGAATGCCAGCCCTTTACTCATTAATGAGAGACCTTAGGAAAAATACTCAACCTAAAACTGAAAGTACCCTCATGTTAATCACTGAGATTAGCCAGTGAAACTGGGGATGCATATCTCAGCAGGCTGATGTAGGGACCAGACAAGATGATGACCATACAGCACCTGGCAGGTCTTAGCACCAAGTGAGTGCTCAGTGAATAGCTCCCTGCATCATCCTTCCTCCTTTTTACTGATTCAAAATCTCTGACATTACATGGTCTCCCTCTATTAAGGAAGAAAAAGAGAAAAACTGGCTGAATAACAAAATCATGGCTATACCAACAACTAGAATTGTATTGATATTTGGGGGAGTGTTAATGTATCCCTGAGCAAAAGGATTTTCTATTTTACAAATGATTAGAAAAATTCAGCATCCTGCATGGAGATCACAGAGTTCTGGGAGTCTGTGTTCTCTCCCTTTAATCTCAATAGGTTACTAGCCCTGGGCAAAGAGGAAACATCTCTGCTTCTGTTCAGCTCTCCTTTCTTTATGCTGCACCCTGGCTAAAGGGCAGCCCAGGGAGGAATTGTGTTGCCTACCCTTAGTTGTTACCACGACATTGTTGCCAAAATAGCAGATACTCTGCAGGAGTCAGAAAAGCCTCTTCCAGACATGATATGACTTCTGCTCCTGGCACATCCTCTGTTGTCTGTTAAGGGCCTGACGGGGGCAGTCAGGGACCACCAGAGTCACAAACTAACTAAGGAGATGGAGAGGGGTTTTGAAAATCTTCGGGCTCTCACGTAAAGAGAATCCCAATGGCCTGTGCTTCAGTTCGGAAGATTCCTCTCACCGTGAGGGAACAAAATGATGCTTTGATACCATCTGCAGAACTATGTCATATCTGTTTCATGAAGTTGAGTTCTTTTCCTAAATAATGAGTATTTCAGGGCAGTAAAAAGAATGCTGCCTGGTTCTTTAAAATAGAAACCTGTTACCTGGGACATAGTAGGAACTAATTCAGATTGAGAGAATATACAAACGGACAATGTCCAGACCATGGATAACAACAGAACTCTGACCCCAACCTCTAGAGCAACCAGTCCAGGGAGCCAAAACACAATCCTGGCAGCAATCGGCCCAGAAGGGGCAGGACTTGATTAATAACTGATGGTTTCTCTATTTTTTCGTCCCTATGCCCAACTCTGGACCAACCACAGAAAGCCATATATGCTCCCCAATCACATGAGATGCTCGGCTTCTGATTAGCCCACCTCCAGCTTCGCCGTGCCAACAACCTCTAATCAGAGCACACCTGGAGCCTGCTCTTTTTTTAACGGAAAAACTTTCCCACTCCCCTGCCTGCTTTTGAGTCTCTGCCAAAGGCAAGTGACAGAGGCTCACTCCCTTGCTACAACAAACTGAATAAATAGCTTCTGTTCTCATTTGAATGGTTTTTGCTTAGTTCCGTAAGATTCACTTGTTTGTATCTGTTATATCTAGTATACTAACAAGATCATATTTTAGGATTTGCAATGCTAAGGACTATGGAAACTTAAGCAATGCAATACCACCCTTGAGGCCTCTGGGCAACCCCAAAATCTGCCTAGAATGTGCCTTCAGAAGCCTTCCCTACTCGCCAAACCCACCTCCAACCGCCTTCTCTTTCCAATTTGTGGCTCCAATTATCACAAAGAATTATGTACAGTAATAGTGACCAACCATCAGTTTGCCCAGAACTGCCCCATTTTAGGCACTGAAAGTTCTACATCCCAGGAAACCCCTCAGTCCCAGGTAAACTGGGACAGTTGGTCACCATGCAAGACTCCTCCTCATGCCATGCCGTTCTAAGACTCAGCCTTTGCAGATGTAATTCGTTCTGCCAGCAATCTTCTCTTTTACCATCGACAAATTGTCAACCTGGTGAGCGCCTCTCAATCTGCCGAGCCCGAGCCTAAATGACCACTCCTAGGTCTCTTTGACAACAGCCCATCCCCTAATCCCAAGCAGATGATCACCCCCTCCTCTACGCCACACTGGCCTATATATACTTTTGCGCATATCACATGGCATAGGGATGAGTTGGTTACGGCGTTTAGACTTTCTGACCCTGTTATACAATCATCTCCTTGCAGGCAGGAGATGGACTGTATTTCCCTTTGTGTCTCCTCACTGACGTCATCACAGCAAGCTCATGTTTGTCTGTTTCCTGAGTAAGTGCATTTGTGGGTGATTAAATGGCTTAGCTATTATTTATTTTATTTATTTAACATAATTATAATTACTTATTGAATTCCTGAATATTAACAAATTAATTATTTCTTAATGAATTAAAGTGATTCTCTACAAAAAAGTCCAAAAGTTCCAGATTGAGCCAAAGGGACAGCTTATAAATATTGATATATATGTGGAAGTTGGGTGCCTTGTAAGCAATATACTTATTAATCCATTTCAATTACCCAGATCATTGACCGACCTCAATCTGGGTGGTGTTGTCCTGCCCGTCGTCCAGGAGCAGGTCCGTGAAGCCTCTGGGCTCTGGGGGGTCTTGGCCCAGGCTGGCTCGGTTTGAGTCTACCGCCTTGAGAGAATCCAAGTGCCTTTTCCACCGGTGGCTGAATGCATGGGAATCCACCTCCACCTCCTCTTCTGTTTGTGGGAAGGCCTGAGCAACCTGATAGTGCCCATCTGTTGGAAAGAAAAAAAAATAACGATTTACCACCTGTTATGCATCATTTGTATGCTTTCTAATAGAGAAGAAAAATATTCTGCTAGTCATAAGAAGAGGAAACTAACTCGTAACAGTGAAATCTGTTTAACTGTAATATTTTTGAGTTGGTATGAACATCTCTGAGTAGAATGCAATTTTAGGACACACCATGATAAGTCGTGACAATGGTTAATGTGCAGATCCAGCAGAGTCCCTAAAATAGATATGCAGCCCTAAAGTAATGCACTTTTTTTTTTTTTTTCTTGCGTTATGCGGGCCTCTCACTGTTGTGGCCTCTCCCATTTGCGAAGCACAGGCTCCGGACGCGTAGGCTCAGTGGCCATGGCTCACGGGCCCAGCCGCTCCACGGCATGTGGGATCTTCCCGAAACGGGGCACGAACCCGCGTCTCCTGCATCGGCAGGCGGACTCTCAAGCACTGCGCCACCAGGGAAGCCCAAGTAATGCACTTTTATTCCCTTCCTTGCCCGCCCTTCACACACACCCTTCATAAACATTCTCCAGTTGTTCTGATAAAACAAGCTACAATCCAAACAAAGGAATGAAACTAAATGATTCCCAGCACATTTGAAAATACAAATCAGACATTAATAACTTGTGAGTTTATATTATTTCATGTGAGTTATGCTGGGCAGCAGAGAGAAAACAGAGCATTTGAATGGGTTAAATAATACATGGAATGAACTTTGTGCAAACGTGCTAACCTGCCTTGTAGCTCACAAGTCAGACTTGGTTCATTGCCGGACTCATTTAATAAGCCACGTCCTCGGGAGGCATCACAAACGCTCTTGTTCATTTGAGCTGTTCTCACCTTGGAATCTTGTCAGGGTGGTAAAGGATGACAGTGATAGGCACTTAGAGAAATGGATGGTAAGGCAAGGAGATCAAATCACAAAGGTATTTTAAAGCCATCTGCAGGGACTGGCCTTGCTGACCCAGCTCATTCTGCTACTACAGGAGGGAAAATTAGATTTAATCATTACTCCTAGTCTTTCATTTCAGTGGGTCAGCAGGGGAAGGTGTTCCACAAGTATGGGAAATTCAGTGTCTGACCAAGAACAGTTCTCCCCTAGGCAACTATTACCAAAAGATACGAATTGACAGGCTTTACAACTGGCAGGATATGGGTTCAAAAAGGGCTAAGAGAGCAGTGATTTAATTACAGCTGCGAGGTTCCCATCAATACAAGAACCTTCCAAGAAACAAAAATGTATTTAATGAAGCTTATAATACCATTAAATCAGTTACTTAGAACTCTAATAACCAAGTTAAGGCTTCCACTACTAATCACATGCAAATGGTCTAAAATATCTCCCTTTGAACTCAGAAAGATGCTAATCATTCTTCTAGAGGGGCTATTCTTTGATTTCACTGTGAATTTAAATGATCTGCCACTGCCTAAAGCCTTATTGGATACAGTCTAGAGTGATGCACTACCACATGTTGGCAATCTAGACTTTTCCATGGGCTTGTAGAATATTAGAGCGTAAAAGAGTCACGGAGATGGAAATGGCCAAAAATTCCACAGAAAGGAACCCTAGAGCCAGAAAATGTAGCACTGTGCTCAATTCACAGAATAGCTAGTTGTAGGCTAGGAAAAAATCCAGGTACATAGAGGGTTTATCATGGTCCCCTCCCACCTTCCACACAGTAAATGTTCAATACGTATGTCTGATGAGTATTTTACAGAAAATGTTTCTTTTTTGTTTGTTTGTTATAAATTTATTTATTTTTGGCTGCATTGGGTCTTCGTTGCGGTGCGCGGTCTTCTCATTGTGATGGCTTCTCTTGTTGTGGAACACGGGCTCTAGGCATGCGGGCTTCAGTAGTTGTGGCATGCAAGCTCAATAGTTGTAGCTCTGGGGAGCAGGCTCAGTAGTTGTGGTGCACAAGCTTAGCTGCTCTGCAGCATGTGGGATCTTCCCAGACCAGTGCTCCAACCCGTGTCCCTTGCACTGGCTGGCAGATTCTAAACCACTGCACCACCAGGGAAGGCCTGAAAATTTTTCTTTTTTAAGGTGCTGTCCCCACTGGACATTGAATAATGCTCAATAAATGTTTGTTGACTGACCAAATGAATGAATAAATTGTAGACAGTCTCTTTGGAGCAAAAATGATAGGACCAGGCACAATTAAGTACAGAAGAAATACTGTACAAGGATTCAGGAGACCTGGGGTAGAATTCTTTCTGTTAGGTTTGCTGAATAGGGGATATTGCATGATTTACAAAACTCTCTGTGCTTTAGTTACCCTATATTTCAAATGGAAATGAAAATACCTTACCTGCAAAAGCAGACAGCTTTTCCTGAGTATGTGCCAGGCTCTAAGACTTATGATTCTAGGCAAAGCTACATAAAGCAATTTTATTTGCTTTATTTATATATCCTGCCTCATTACCAAAAATATATGAGGCAGCTTACAACAAAAGTACACAATAAAGTTTTATAACAACCAGATAAGGCCTCGTAGCACAACACTCAGATTAAACTTTAGAGCTGTGCATTCACCTTGCACTAGGGGTGGTGGCTATCTGAATACAAACAATCATGTAGGAGCAACTGAAAATCTACAGGATCCTTATTAGAATGTCAGTGCAGAAAAGAAAGATAGCAAATATCATGTAGTCAATGGATTAAACAGTCCTAGATATAAAAATATTTTTTAAAAAAATCACAGAAAGGGAAAGTCTCCAGCCAGAGGTTTCTCAGTTCTTTATAATGTAAACCAGAAAAAAAAACAATCCCAAATCTCCAAAGAAGTTGTCAACTGTTGGTTTCTTTAAAATAGATGTTATCATTGGATATTAATTGCCTGATGTTAATTTTACCATTGTCCTTTTAGATTTTTATAACATAGGACAAAACATAGTACTTTTCATGATGCCTGTTAGGCCAGTAACATAACACTAGCCCCTGTGGCCCTGGCACAGAGCACAGAGTAGACGAAGCAACTAACACTGGAGGAGCTGTCTGCAGAGGAAGTCTAGTTCTCGTCTTTGATTGCCCTTTCTCATTTTCTTCCCACCTTCTTACCCTAAGAAGGAGCTTCAAAACTTAGGGAGGATAAAGTCCATATTCCCCACTGCTAAACTAAACAAGGAGGCCATCAGACTGAGGTGGCTCTAAAACCTTAGCAGCCTACGTAAGCAAGCTCAAACCTGAGCCTGCGGCTGCCTCAAGATTAAGAAATCAAAACCTAAGGACAGTGCTTCCCTGGTGGCGCACTGGTTGAGAGTCCGCCTGCCGATGCAGGGGACACGGGTTCGTGCCCCGGTCCGGGAGGATCCCACATGCCGCGGAGCGGCTGGGCCCGTGAGCCATGGCCGCTGAGCCTGTGTGTCCGGAGCCTGTGCTCTGCAATAGGAGAGGCCACAGCGGGGAGAGGCCCGTGTACTGCAAAAAAAAAAAAAAAAAAAAAAAAAAAAACCTAAGGACAACCAGTCACAAACTTACAACTAGACTTTTCAGAATCAGGCAAACACTTAAGCTACAGCCAATCAAATAATTTCCTTGTTTTCTTGTGCCTTTTCTCTATAAAATCTCTCCCCTCGTTGGGGTTCTTGGAGTGTTCTAACCACTTCTGGTTTGTGCTGCCCCACTGAAATTGATTTTCAGTCAGGTAAACTCTTAAAATGTTGAATATGCTTCAGTTTATCTTCTAACACCACTTAAGTTGAAATTTGGGAAGTCTGATTAGTGTGTCAAACTCTTGATTTTGTGATGAACATTCCAACTCATTTTTAGCTAGATTATTGGGGAAGGTGAATTTAACAGACAGGTAGGCCTCCCGTATAAAACAAGCATAAATGTTTCCTCTAGCATTTACAAGGGTAAGTCTCCAGACAGCTGTGGGTTTTGGTGTTTGTTTTTCACTTTTTGGCAGTGTTTTATGATTTTTTTTTTTTTGCTTACTTTACTGTTGTATTAATTGCTATTACAGCCGTTGATTAGTTTGCCTCCATGATGGACATGCTTGCTCCTTCTAGAATTTACTACCGTAAACTTTGTAAACTGATTACTCAGTCACTTGCTGGCTCTGACTGTAAAGAGTAAACAAAATCTAAGGAAGGAACTGAGGGTTTTCCAATGTGAAAATTTGTGAGCTTTAGTGCCTAGCCTCTGTGAATTTTCTTTGGGTTGCTATTTTATATCTAATTCTTTTTCTCTGATTAGGTTATGAATAAGCAAGACTACCCAATCATACATAGAGGAAACATTCCTATTTGCTCGTAATTCAGTAGTACATGGTTCATCAAGACTAAAGTATGAAATTGGCTTAGATTTTTAACCCATTTCAGAATGATTTTTAGAGAAGATAAAACAAGTCAAAAATTGATGCTTCCAGAAATAAAGACTGAGAAAAACTGGCAAAACCACAGCCTTGTTATCTACATTGTAAATTACTCCTATGCACTTCATGGGCTTTCTAACTCATAAAAATATTTCAAATGACCCTTTAAACCACCACCAAAACAAATCATTCAGAAGAAAGATGAAGGGATATATGTAATATAATTTTTCCCTTCCCAGCTGTAGCGAAAACAAAAGCAATAGGAGGGATCTTTGAATAGTCTGGTTGAACAGATTGTCTGCTTTCTGTCTACTGTATGTTAATTAAACCACTGATGGAAAACTTTCAAAGATAATTTTCGCCAACATATTTTGCTATAGTTGTTAATCACATAGCTCATGAAAACATTAAATGTATCTAAGGACTTCCATTTGGATATAAGGAGAGAAAGCAAAAAGGCATATTTTTGTATATTTAATATAGTAATTGACCTTAACACATTCTTGAAATACTTTATTTGATAAAAATAGCAGATAAAGTATTACTGAAGAAGGTATTTCATTACATTTCAAATAGACCATCATTATGAAACCCAATAATGTCTAGTTAATCTGAGAGTAAAATAAGAAACTCACGTACATCTTCACATTCTTTGCAAACCTTGCAAG